CTGAGACAGCGGAGGACAATGGGAATCGGGCCAGCATCAGCGCTGGGATGTGTGGACGCTTGCCTGGGAGTGGGTCGCACAGAGAATCTCCGCATTGAGGGGACTGGGTCTCCCCTAGGAGAGTGTTCTAGTTCAGGCCCCAATGAATGAGAATGAATGAATGAGTGAATGAATGAATGAGTGAATGAATGAATGAGTGAATGACCTACCTTCCTTTCCGCAAGGCCTGGTATTGGAAAGGGCTGCCCTAGGCATGGAGAAAGGGGCCTTCCAGCATTCTCTATGGCACCCTGCTTTTGAAGTTGGTTCTTGACAGTCCTGGGGTGTTGAATTTAGTGAAAATTGGCCTGGGAGAAAGATCCTTGGGGTTAGGCTCAGGAATGTGCCACCCAGGGAGGTGAGTCCTGGCCCAGATGCAGCCCCCATGGACTGGTCTGGCCTGGTCTGGGTCTGGTTTTTGGCTTTGATGACCACGCCCTGCCCCACCCTACCTGATGAATTGGTAGGCTCCCGATGCAGGTATGTGGAGGGTTTGAACTCCAAACAGTCTCTGCTGACTGTAAACACTTGTGGGGACTTGGGGGGCTCTGCTCTCTGGGAGGCCTCCCTCTCCCTGAGCCTGCCTGCCAGTCACGAGCTGCTGAGTGAGCCCTGTCCTTTCTATCATGTGCCAGTAAGAGGTCATTTGTGGTGGGAGAAGTCTGACTTCCCCTTCCCTTCTAGCCAGTGCCTGCTCTTTCCACATCTTCAGGGGCTGACTGCTTCCCAGAACCTCCCAGCAGGCTGCCGGGCCTGCTTACCCCGGCTTTTCTGTGCTTGGCCTCCAGAGATTCTGCCTTACCTGGTCTCCTTGGGGCGTGACTGGTGGCTGTCATTTATTCAACAAGTCTTGATTGAGCTCCTACTATGTGCCAGCCACTTGGAGACATAAGTGAATAAAACACAATGCCTGCCCACCCGGAATTCTGGCTGTCACTGTTTGCTCCTGAAGCTGAGTTTGCCTGTTAAGCCCTTTATCTGTATCCTGCTCCTGGTCTCCCTCTGATTACCAGGTGCCTCTCTTTTCCTTCTAGAACTTAATTTTGTACTTGCTTTTTAAAAAAATGTATTTTATTGATTTCAGAGAAGGAGAGGGAGAGAGAGAAACATCAATGATGAGAGAATCATTGCTCGGCTGCCTCCTGCCCGCCTCCTACTGGGGAACGAGCCCACAACCTGGGCATGTGCCCTTGACCAGAATTGAACCTAGGACCCTTCAGTCCGCAGGCCGATGCTCTATCCACTGAGCCAAACCGTCCAGGGCTTACTTGGTACTTTCAATGGAGCCTGACCAGCAGAGCTCCGAAAGTTACTGAGAACAGGATAGCACTGATCCAGGGCTTTTTTTGCTTGTCCCAAGCTCCTGGGTATTGAGACCATTCATCCCTATTGTTCTGAATGCAGCTTCACTCCTCCTTTCACTACATGGGGCTAATTGTGGTTGACTTCTTATTTCATTTCTCCTTTAAATATGTCCTTCTCCAAGGCTTGTCTTCATCTACCTCCTTGTGCCTATGTGAACAAACCCCTCAGTTCTCAGGCCTCAGGTGTCGCTGCCTGGCCGACTCTAAGCTCTGTCCCTAGCTCCTGGCCTAGATATTCCCTGGCCTGCCTAGTGCTTTGCTGATTGGTCTTCTTACAACTGAATGAGGACCGCTTACTCTCAGGCCTCCCCAATCTCCATCTCCCACTTCAGCTTCCTCTTTTTTTTTTTTAACTTGTGACCAAAAAAAATCCAGTTGATTCTTCATCATGTCTTCCACGAAGCTGTCAGTTATTCCTTTTCCATAATTTTTGTGACTTCCTCCCTGCTGGTAGACACCTGTGTTTGGTGCTGTGTTCTTGGAACGGCCCTCTGATTGCAGTCTCCCATTGGATCTGGAGCCCCATCAGGCTTGGCCTTCAGAGCTATCCAGGGCTTTCTCAGCCACCTGCTGCTCCCCAGCCAGCCTGCTTTTCTCTCCTGATGGTTATTCCTGTTTCTTCCCTTTGTTCTTGTGGCCTTCCCAGCCCCAGCTACAGATCTCCCTGCTGCCCTCTGAGAGACGGGCCAGCTCACTGCCTGCCTCTCGCAGTTCCAGTGCCTGTGATGCTGAGTTCCCTGAAACCATCTCCCCCTAAGTGCCATGTGGCCGCCTGTGCTTTCACCCTTGAGCCATGGCACTGGCCCCTTGCACACACGTGACAGCCTGACATGCTGGGCCTCCATTAGGAGCCCAAAGGATGCACTGCAACCGGGAGAATTCCAGCAAAGGCTTCATGAAGACAGAGGCCCTGGGCCCCAGGCTGAAGCTGCTGAATGTTTAGGCGAGGCAGTGTTAAGGTGCCTCCAGGACCATGGGGAGGAGGCAATTCAAGTCCCTTTGCCTCAGCCTTGCCTCCCTCCAGTAGGTCCCCATCCAGCACTATCTTAGTTAGCATCTCCATTCAGGCTGTTGGGAATCTTCCTGCTCATCGTCACCCCCCCACTCAGATGTTACCTCTATGAAGCCCTTTCCCAGACCCCATCACTATCCTCCTCCCCACTCTCCTGGAACATGGCATTGTGGGTGGAGGTGCTATATCTGTCTCCTCCCTAGGAAGGCAGCGACCCTCTGAGTTCTCCCCTGCTCAGTAATGAGCAGAGTAGGTACCTTGTGGCCCACATAGGTGAACAGAATGTGCAGAGGAATGGCCAGGATTGTCTCGGTCCCTTCCATCTCCAACCCATGTCCTCTGCTTAAGAAGTGCAGTGGAACCCTGGAGAGCAGGTGACTGAGTCAGAAGAGCTGCCTTCACCCGCTGTGGCTCTCTGTTCTGGGCAAAAGTTACTCTAGACTTCCAAGCCAGAAGAGGGGAACTTTCAGGAAGGCAGCATACTCTAGGGGGAGAGAGGAGGGCAGCGGAAGAGGAGACAGGCCTTCCTAGAGCCCCACCCCCATTACTGGAGGCCTTGGGCAGAGGCTAGGCTTCGGGGAGATCTGCCGAGGCCTCAAGGTTGGGCTGGGTCATGGCTCCACGCCCCCCTGTCTTCCTGTGCCCTGTCTTCTTGGCTTGCCCTCGCTCCTCTGGTTATTGAGAGAGGATCCTCCCCAGACTTAAGGTTCTAGGCCTGCTGTATGGTTGAGGGTGTGCTCATCCCATCAGCACAGACGCCACCTCTCCTAGCATTGTGTCCCAGGGCAGGGTGGGGAGCCCAGGAAACTCTGGCCTGAGAGAACAGGACTTACCAGATTGCTTTCCCTGACCAGTGCTCAGACCCTGTGTGTCCTGGGGCTCTTCCAGCATAGCCCTAGGGCCAACAGACTGACCCTGGCCTAACATCTGGGCTGCCGATATGCAATCTTTGCATGCTTTTCCAGGCCCTCTGTGACCTGAGTGCCTGGGACTCTAGGTGGGACAAAGTGTGTCCAGAATCTCCAGCAAGACATCAGGGGCCCAGCTGCCTGTGTCCCTGTGTGACTGCTGCCAGCCTGTTGCAGCTCCACCTTTTAGGTTGGGGCAGCTGAGCTGAACTCCTTGGGAGCATGGGAGCTGTATAGCAGGATTGGGGAGTGCTGAGCACAGGTGGGGGTTTCCCAGCAGAGCAGGAGCCCAGATAAGCCACCCAGCCATAAGGACCTCTGGCAGAAGAAAGGAACAGTTACCTGTGTTTCTTGAGTGCTTGGCTGTGACCATTTCCCCTGAGGGTCACCTCCTGCCCCTGGCTGGGCGCCACCTTCATTGTTCCCTGTGATAATGGGGTGGCCCTCAGCTGTGTCAGAGCTACTGCCAAGGTGCTGGCTCCAGATGCGTGGGCTCACTTTGCCTCTTCCCAACAGCCTTGGGTGCTGCCTATGGTACCGCCAAGAGTGGCACTGGCATCGCGGCCATGTCTGTCATGCGACCAGAGCTGATCATGAAGTCCATTATCCCAGTGGTCATGGCTGGCATTATTGCCATCTATGGCCTGGTGGTGGCAGTCCTTATCGCCAACTCCCTGAATGAAGGCATCAGTCTCTACAGGTGAGTGCTGGGTTCCTCCCACCACACCCGCCCGGCCCTGGTTCAGGCCACTGCATAGGGCTGGAGGGCTGGGGAGTGGGCTAGTGGCCTGTGCCTACCATCTTCCCCAACAGGCAGCTAATGTCTATTCTGTGTCCTCTCTCCCCCAGGAGTTTCCTCCAACTGGGCGCTGGTCTGAGTGTGGGCCTCAGTGGGCTGGCAGCGGGCTTTGCCATTGGCATTGTGGGTGACGCCGGTGTGCGGGGCACTGCCCAGCAGCCCCGACTATTCGTGGGCATGATCTTGATCCTCATTTTCGCAGAGGTGCTGGGTCTCTACGGTCTCATCGTCGCCCTCATCCTCTCCACAAAGTAGCTCCTCTCAAAGCCCACCAGCCACAGGATATGATGTAAAGACCACCCCCTCCTCATTCCAGAATGAACAGCCTGATACACATGCACGGGGCAGCTGCCCCCCTCTACCCCCAAGTAGTTGGTCTTGTAAATGCGCAGTGTCCTAGTGCCCATTGTCTGTTGCCCCCACCCGCCCCGTGCCGTGGACATCTGGGCCCACTCATCATCACCCATCCAGGTCCCCTGACCAGTGAGGATGGTGGCTTCTAGCCACCCCCACCCACTTACCTGCCCTAGAGTGCTCTGTGTATAGGGATGAATTCGAGTTGTCGTTTTCACTGGATGTTTATTTATAAAGATTTGACCTGTTCGCACGTCTGTGGAGCAGCCCTACAGTCTCCCAACTATAATAATCTTTAGAGTGTCGCTTTGTGGGGTTACCGTGTGCCCTGAGATCTTTTGTATGGAACCACTGTCCTCCAGCCCTAGCTGCGGGGCCATGAGCTGGGCCTGCGAGGCCCAGAGCCGTGTCCAATAAAATTCTCGGATGTGACTGGACATCTGTGTGTGTGTGCTTGTGTGGGCCCGGGGGGAGGGGCGGGCTGCTGAGCCGCGGCGTCAGAGCGCCGCAGTGTGCGCGGTCACGTGGGCACGCTGGTCACGTGGCGCGCGCTGTAGTCAGCTGAGGGTCATGTGGGTGGGGCCCCGCTCCGGCGCCCCCAGCTGAGCTCGGCTCATTCGGCTCAAGATGCGCGACGGAAAGGGCGCTTCGCGGGCCCCGGTGCTCCGGTTCACCAACTGCCGCATCCTGCGGGGCCGAAGGCTGCTCAGGTGGGGCGTGGGGGGCGGCGCCTGGCGCTGCGGGAGTGGAGCCGGCGGGCGCAGGGCCTGGCCATGGTGGACGCGGGTTGGGTGCAGGGTGCTGGGTCGGCGACACGAGCCCCACCCCTCTCTGTCCGCAGGGAGGATCTGTGGGTGCGTGAGGGCCGCATTCTGGACCCAGAGAAGCTCTTCTTTGAGGAGCGGCTCGTAGCCGACCAGCAGCGGGACTGCGGGGGCTGCCTCCTGGCGCCCGGCTTCATTGACGTGCAGATCAACGGTGCGGTCGGGGCCTGGGGGTGGAGACCCAGGGGCGGAGCTCGGAGCGCCGTGCGACCTCCTCTCTTCTGCGACCACAGGTGGATTTGGCGTTGACTTCTCGCAGGCCACAGAGGATGTGGGCTCGGGAGTAGCCCTTGTAGCCCAGAGGATCCTGTCGCACGGAGTCACCTCTTTCTGTCCCACCTTAGTCACCTCGCCACCAGAGGTTTATCACAAGGTGAGGTCAGGCGCCCGGCCTCAAGCCAAGGGGGCCCGAGAAGTAGCCAGCTCCTTAATTTTCAGATACCATCTCCTCTCCCCACAATGCCCCTGGGCACTTGGGTCTGACCTCACCTGCTGACCTTCCTCCATCTGGTCCTTCCGGGTCCTGTCCCTTGGTCGTTCTCAAATTCAGGTGTCCCTCTGCCTGCTGCCCTGGGCCCGCTGTCATTTCCGGTCTGTCTGCTGCAGCTGTCCCCACAGGCCTCCACATTTGCTGCCTCAGCACCTTCACCTGCCACTTGCCTTTCCCACTCTGTACTCTGGCTACTTCCAGGTTCCAGAATCTGCCTCCTGGATCAAGGCCATGGGGACTTTCCCATTGCCACATCCTTGGCCCCTTCTCAGGCTTTTCCCTGGCTAACCTGCCTGTGGTATATGGTGTGTGGTAACCTTCCAGAGAGAAGCTCCATTGTACTCCAGCCTTTCTCTGCTGCAATGGCCTACACCCACACCCTCCCACTTTACTTCTGACCTGCAAGTCCTGCTGTTGAGGTGTCAGGTGTCCTTTTTCCTTTAAGAAATTTTACTTTTCATGCAGGTTCTTCACTTTACTCTTTGCAACATTTAATTATTTGGTCTCATTCTCTGTATGTTCTTTTTTTCCTGAGGTGTTCGAGAGTAGGTTGTATAGGTCGTGCCTCTTTACTTCTTCTTTTTTTTTTTTTATTTTTTATTTTTAATTAAATCTTTATTGTTCAGATTATTACATTTGTTCCTCTTTTTTTTCCCCCCATAACTCCCCTCCTCCCAGTTCCCGCCCCACCCTCCGCCCTCACTCCCCACCCACTGTCCTCATCCATAGGTGCACGATTTTTGTCCAGTCTCTTCCCGCATCTCCCACACCCCTTTCCCCCCCAGGAATAGTCAGTCCATTCCCTTTCTATGTCCCTGATTCTATTATAATCACCAGTTCATTCTGTTCATCAGATTATTTATTCACTTGATTCTTAGATTCACTTGTTGATAGATGCATATTTGTTGTTCATAATTTGTATCTTTACCTTTTTCTTCCTCTTCCCCTTCTTAAAGGATACCTTTCAGCATTTCATATAATCCTGGTTTGGTGGTGATGAACTCCTTTAGCTTTTCCTTATCTGTGAAGCTCTTTATCTGACCTTCAATTCTGAATGATAGCTTTGCTGGATAAAGTAATCTTGGTTGTAGGTTCTTGGTATTCATCACTTTGAATATTTCTTGCCACTCCCTTCTGGCCTGCAAAGTTTCTGTTGAGAAATCAGCTGACAGTCGTATGGGTATTCCCTTGTAGGTAACTGAGTTTCTTTCTCTTGCTGTTTTTAAGATTCTCTCTTTATCTTTTGCTCTTGGCATTTTAATTATGATGTGTCTTGGTGTGGTCCTCTTTGGATTCCTTTTGTTTGGGGTTCTCCGCGCTTCTTGGACCTGTAAGTCCATTTCTTTCACCAGGTGGGGGAAGTTTTCTGTCATTATTTCTTCAAATAGGTTTTCAATATCTTGCTCTCTCTCATCTTCTGGCACCCCTATAATTCTGATGTTGGTACGCTTGAAGCTGTCCCAGAGGCTCCTTACACTATCCTCGCATTTTTGGATTCTTTTTTCATTTTGCTTTTCCGGTTGGGTGTTTTTTGCTTCCTCGCATTTCAAATCATTGACTTGATTCTTGAGCTCCTCTGGTCTGCTGTCGGGAGTCTGTATAATATTCGTTATTTCAGTCCGTGTATGCTTAATTTCTAGTTGGTTCCCCAATATAAGATCGAGGGTCTTATTAGTTTTCTTGTAGATCTCATTAAGTTTATCGACGGCTTCTAAACAGTTCTTGAGAGACCTTAAAAGTGTGGTTCTGAACTCTATATCTTCCATTGACAATTTTGTCCTGTTTCTTTGTCTCCGCATTTTGTTATGCTTCCTTGGTGCACCCCCTAGTGGTCTTTGTTCACAGTCTTATAGTTAAATCTTGATTGTTGTAGCTAATTCCAGGGAGGGTTTGACCTCCAGGCCAAGTGGCTATGAGAATCAGCTGTGTCAGCAGTGAGAGAACTTCTGTCCTCTAGGGAGGTGCTAATCTAGCCTTTGCCTGAGGCTATCCGGCAAATGCCTGTGTGCAGGGCTTGGGCGGGGCGGGTCGCACAGGATCAACAGGGTGGGCCGGAGAGAGCAGTTATGGCGGCTCTCAGTCCTGTCCCCAGGGGCTCTGCCTCTCTGAGTCCCAGCACCCGCTGCAAAGCTCAGAGAGAAAGCTGCACTCGCTCTGACCGAAGCCACACAGTCCCGCTTCTCCCGTTTGAGTCTGGGTCCCTAAAGACTCGCTCGGATCTGGAGCTCAGAGTCTGCGACTCCCTCCCGATTGAAAACGCCAACCGCGCCCTCCGCCGCCAGCCCGCTCGCGCACTCCGCACCTCAGAATTTGACTTCAGCACTGCGCCTCCTCTGAGTGTCCGTATGCGTTTCTCTTTCCTCCTAGTTGTAGGACTTCCACTCAGCCAGCGTTCCTGTGGTTCTGGGTGATGTCCCTTCCGTTTTTTGGTTTCACTTTTGAAGTAGTTGTTCAAAGCAGCAAACTCCAGCGTTAACCTATGCCGCCATCTTGGTTCTCTCCTCTTTACTTCTTAACTATTTCTTAAAAGCATGGGTATTCTGTTGTGTAGGCATAATAGAGTTACTGAGTTTAGGAAATTGTTATCTTTTAAACTACCATCTTTGTTCCAATTATGTAGTGTTTTTTCTTCCAGTACAGGATCCATTCCAGAATCACTGATTGCGTTGCCCTCTGTGGGGTTCCCTCCTGGGAGTGTGGAGATAGCACCAGAGCCAGGAGCTGTGCGAGGTGGATGTGGGCTCCTGACTTCTATCACCTGTCAGCTGGGAGACTTGGGAGACTCCTTACTCCTTCTGAGCCTCTGTTTCCTCAAACCTAAAGTGAGAATAATAATGATATTCATCCTTTAGAGTTGTTGGGTGCCCAGCACTGTGCTTGGTACATATTAAGCACTAGCTAAATGTCAGCTATGGGCATCGTTCTGGAAATTTATCACAGGTCTCCCATCACAGAGTCATGTTAAAAACCAAACTCATCTTCCTGCCACAGACTCGCGCCTGATTCCGTGCTTTCTCTCCTGGTCATCATCCTATAATTTACGGAACCTGGAATCCTGGAACATGCTCTCCCTCCTACTTCTTTGTTCTTTGTCTTCCCCCTTCCCAGTCCCCACCAGTGAGGCTTGGTGACTGTTATCTTAGTCTCCTGCAGGGCTCAGCACAGCACTCACACTCCTCCTCCGCTCTTATCTGCAGGATAAACACCGCCTTCCCAAACCTTCTCTCCCTACCTGCCAAGCATTGGCTCTGCCCAGGTACATTCCAGCCATTCCAGGCAGTTGCTCTCCTGCCCACCCCACCCTCACCCCCAGCCCCCTGCCTTTCTGTGTCTGCTGCACCAGCTGGTTCACATCCTTCCCCATCTACCTGTGCAGTACATTGGCCCATCATGATACAAACTGTGAGATCTTCTTCCTTAGGAGAAGGAGCTTCTGGCCAGAGAACTCTTATTTTCTTCCCAGCACTCACCAACCCCCTTAAGCCCTTACAGGATAAAGACCTTGGGAAGCAGAGAATAAACTGATTTATAGTGGAAATTGTTGCGGGCTCTGAACATAAAAATTTTAACACAGGTTAAAACATCATCTTAGAAACTACAGGACTGCTCATTTGGCTGTCTCCCCTACTCCCACGCCCATCCACCCCCCTTCTTCCATGGCCCATTCGTACTGAGCAGAACTAGATTGCCTCTTTGGCAGAGTTACCCAGGTTTTGTCATCATGCTCTGGTCCATTGAAACCACCTGCTCTTTTTCTGGGGGTGTCCTGCAGTCTTGCCCTTTTCTGTCCATCCAGGAGGAAGGTTGGCTTGCACTGTTCTCTGCTTCTCTGAGGCAAGATCAGGTCCCTCCTCAGGGTGCTGGCCCCCGCATCTTCTACACTCTGGCCTCTCCCACTTTTTCCTCCCTGTAGGTGCCTCATTCCCTTCACCTCTAGACTGTTTTTTATTCTGTTCTCTCTACTTAATGCTCTCTCGCTTTCCCTCTTAAAAGTCTGATCTGGAAAAACTCATCCATTGTCTTTTCTTTCATCTTTAGTGAACTTGTATATGTTATAACTTACATGGCTTATTAGGAAAAATAGTAGCCCTTTGCCCCCACACTTCTCACTGAGGGACAGTCACTTTCTTTATTTTTTAAAATATATTTTATTGATTTTTTATGGAGAGGAAGGGAGAGGGATAGAGAGTTAGAAACATCGATGAGAGACAAACATCGATCAGCTGCTTCCTGCACATCTCCCACTGGGGATGTGCCTGCAACCAAGGTACATGCCCTTGACTGGAATCGAACCTGGGACCCATCAGTCCGCAGGCCAACGCTCTATCCACTGAGCCAAACCAGCTAGGGCTCTTTATTTTTTATATATATTTTAATGGGACAGTCACTTTTAACTCAGTTGACCCTTTGGAATTTACCCTTACATCTCTAACACCTATGCTGGTACTCCTGCTTGACTTTTCAGTTTAGAGCGGTATTATTGGCTTCCCATCAGGAAAGATGATCGGCTCTCTTTGGCCTCTTTTAGCTCTTTCGCTTCTTATCCTCCCCAAATAGTTTCTTGCAATTTTTGTTAGATTAGTCACTGGGACTGTGTAAAGAGGACTTGTAGCTCATTTACATTTAAAAAAATCCTCACCTGGGGATTTTCCATTGCTTTTAGGTAGAGTGGAAGGGAGAGAGCAAGGGAAGGGGGGGCAGAGAGAAAGAAAGAGAAAGAGAAACATCAGTGTGAGAGACACATCGATTGGGTGCCTCCTGCATGCTGACCAGGGCTGGGAATGGCCTGCAATCCAGGTATGTGCCCTTGACTGGGAATCCAGCCCGAGACCCTTTGGTGCTCGCAGCTGACACTAACCACTGAGAAACACCAGCCAGGGCTA